CTCACTACTAGGTTGGACTCATAGTGATCTGCCTGTTTACAGCCTGAGAAATTTTTTCATATATTTATTTCCTATTTGTATTTCTTTTTCTGAGAAGTGAGTATTCATCTCAAAATGCTCATTTTTGGAGTGGGTCTTTGAATTTGGAGGACTTGATTTTTAAAAAAATTCTTTATATGTTTTCTAGATAGAAGTCCTTCATCTGAAGGACTACTGGCTAAAATTTTTCCCATTCTGTGGGTTGTCTTTTCACTCTGTTGGTGATGTTTTCTGATGTGCAGAAGCTTTTTGGTTTTTTCCCTTTCCCATTTGAGTCCCTTTCCCCCTTCAGCCTCTCTTTTACTTTGCCCGTCATCCTGTTTCTTCTACCATTGTGTGTTCTTCAACAAATGTAGCTACTTAGTACATAAAAAATAAAATGTTTTTTGGTCAGATGAGATCCCAGTTGTTGATTCTTTGAACTTTTCTCCTTGCAGTCTGAGTTTTCTTGAAGCCTCTGTCTATACCTAGACAGAGGTATAGACTTTGAGATTTCTACCTACTTTTCTGGTAGACTTAGTGTTTTTGTTTTAATATTTAGATCTTTGGTCTATTTTGATATTAGTGTGTGGTGATAGACTTGCATCTAGTTTTAGTCTTCAGCCCAAGGGAAAGCCAGTTTTCCCATCACCATTTAGTGAAGAGGCTGTCTTGCTTCTACTGAAATCTTTTGGCCCTTTTGTCAAAGAAGGTAGCTGAGTGTGTTTGTAGTTGTGTCTGTATTTTCTAATCTGTTCTATTGATCCTCAGGTCGATTTTTTTTTCTAGCACCATGCTGATTTTTTTCTTCCCCCTGTCATTTTGAGACAGGAACTCACTACACTGCCCAGGCTGGCCTTGAGCTCACTTTGTGACCCAGGCTAGTCTTCAACTCATAACAGTCCTCCTGCCTCAGCCTCCCAAATTCTGGGATTACAGGCATGCACCACCACCCAGCACCATGCTGATTTTATCATAGTACCTTTGTAGTATAATTTCAAGTCAGGGATTGTGATGCCTCTTGACTTGTATTTGTTGCCCAGGATTGCCTTTGTTGCTCTAGATCTCTTCTGGTTCGAGATGAATTTTAGGAATGTATTCTCTAGATCTGTGAGGTATGCTAATGGTATTTTGACTAGAATTGCATTAAATCTGCAGAACAGTTTTTGGAGTATGGCCATTTCACTATGTTGGTTCTTCCTATCCATGAAAGGAAGAAGTTAAATTATCACTATTTGCAGATGATATGAAACTGTACATAGAAGATCTCCAAAATGCCACCAAAAGGCTTAATAGATTTAATAACCAAATTCATTACTATAGCTAGATCCAAAGCCAGTACTCAGAAAGCAATAGCTTTCTTGTATGCAACAAGTTCACTGAAAGAGAAATTAAGGAAACTTAGCCCTTCATGAGAGCATCCAAAAAATATGAAATACTTAGGAATCAATTAACAAGAAAGTAAAAGATCTATACATTGAGAATTACGATTCACAATGACAAAGGAGATTGAAGAGGATATCAGAAAATAGAAAGCATCCCTTGCTTGTGAGCAGGAAGGCATAATTTATTTATATACTTATCTTTTGTTAGCACATGTTTGAAGTACATGAAGTTTACATTTGGCTTGGGGAATAAAGGTTATCATTTGGATTAATAAAAATTTTAAAAAACAGCTGCAATCTTAGGATCACAAATTATCAGTTGACTCATAATTTTTTTCTTTCTTAAATGGAAATAAAGCTTTGTAAATTGGGAGGGTTGGAGGGCTTCAGGAGAGGCTAGGAAAATGGAAAAAAGAACCAAGTTATATCAAGTATGGGTACAAATTCTCTATGATGAATGTGATCATTATATATAAAATGTTCCAATAAAATCTAATTGAAGAAAAAAAAATTTTCTCTGTTTTTTGGCAGGGAGGAGTTATTTGTTTAGTTTTGATAGTGGGAATTGAACTCAGAGTCTTTTTTTTTTTTTTTTTTTTTTTTTGGTGGTACCAGGGATTGAACTCAGCACCCTGCGCTTGCCAGGCAAGCGCTTATTCTACTGAGCTATCTCTCTGGCTCCCAGTATATCTAAAATGTTTCAATAAAATCTAATTGGAGAAAAAAACATTTTTTGGGGGGAGGAGTTATTTTTTTATTTATGGTAGTGGGTATTAGACTCAGGGTCTCACACTTGCCAAGCAGGCTCTGTACCACTGAGCTACGTCTTCAGCCCAGGACTGGGTTTTGCAGTGTTGCCCAAACTAGCCTTGAACTCTTGGGCCTAAGTGATCCATACACCACCAGGCCTGGCTTTATAAATCATGAGATGATTTTAGAAGTCACCACTAAAGAATTGGAATGGTTCTGGGTTTTTGTCATACTGTGGCTGCCAACATTTATTGTGATGTGCTCTCATTGGGCAGTGCTCTTGATACAAGATGGGGGCATGAGATAGGCGGTTCTGTGGGGGCATCAGGGCGCTGTGCCCTGGAGCAGGGAAGAGGTGGGATGAGAACTGCTTCTCCCCCTCCTAGGGGCTGTGGCCCTAAGGAAAGCGTGCAGGTAGCGTGCTTGGAGTGGCAGAGGAAGCTTGCTTTGCGCCTGGCTGCTGATCCTCCCGCACTCACTGCAGTCGCTGTGCTGGCAGCATCGCTGTCATGTTTTTCTTTCATAATTTTCCTCAGAGGTGGGCTGTGCTGCCTGTTCCACCTTCTAAGTCCTCCCCATCTTCATCTTGTGTCCTGAAGCACTGAGAAAAGAGGATGATCTTTCCCTAGGGTTTTGCCTGGGTGGGTTTGTGCTCCCCTTCATGACCCTGTTGGGAGGTGTGGGTCCCGCACCGGGGCCACCTCACCTCACCTGCCAGCTCAGCACAGAGCTGTGTTCCCAGTTGGTACAAATTGCTGGCTTTCCTTGCCTCCTGTAACAATTTAAATTTCGCTCTCACTGAGTAGCTGATAGTGCTGCTTGCTTCTGTTCGTTGTGGTTATCGAAAGTGAAGTAATGCGCTCCCATGTGGGAGAGCTCTCCAGGCTCAATACTGAAACCCCACAGAAAGCTTTGGATCACCTGTGATCCTCACCTTCCAAACACCTTCATTGCAGGTGGAAAAACTGGTGGATCCGGGGCATCCTCACCCTGACAATGATTTCCCTGTTCTTCCTGACCATCTACATGGGGTCCTTCATGCTGATGCTGTTGGTGAGTAGCTTGTTTTCCTTATGCACCCTTTGTCTGGTTTCTCAGTGTTTATATGAATGAAAAGACATGAGCGTGTTGTTACTAAGGTAATCAGTAGTTGGTGACAGCAAATTCAGTTCCTTAAAGCATGATGTGGACTCATTATCCATGCAGTGTCCCTTCAGCAGAGCCCAAGTGTGTGTGATAAACACACACCTACGCATCACTGTGCTAAGCACCAAGTGTGATGGAAACACACACTCAGCTTCATCACATTTATGACTGTAGTCAGACCTCGGTTTGGAGGGAAGCACAGCAGATGGAAGAGAGTCAGGTAACCAGGTGACTGGAAGTGTGGGGGATGAGGAGGCAAAGTTCTGGGATGGAGCATGCTGGAAGAACCCAGAAGGGAGCATGCAGGCCAGTCTAAGGGAGGATGAGGAGTGGCGTCCGAAAGTGATGTTAACACTGAGCTCAGAGGCTGAGACAGAGAACGGGTGCCAAGGCAGGCCACCAGACAGCATGGAAGAGTGTAAGAAGCCATGGTCTGTGGAGGGATGTGGGGGTCGAAGGAGGAGCAGAGAAGCCACCCTGGGCATCGGGGAGTTTGTCCTTAGGGGAAGCCCAGCAAGTTAACAGGTGACACCTGCTAAATGGAAGGCTGCACCCCTTCCCAGGCTGCAGCCCTTGGATTGGTGAGGGTGCCAAGGGAAGTGGCCTGTCTGTGCCTTCGTGGAGCTTGCTCCCAGCACTTCCATGGCTGGAGAGACATAGAAACTGCAGTGCACACATGAGAGAAAGCCTGGGTCTGTGAGCATGGATGAGGGTGGGGGGGCCTCCCAGAAGTGCAGTGTCAAGCCTTTCCACTGTAGCGTGGGGTTGATCAGGGGTCAGGCAAGGGAGGAGCCCAGGAAAGGATTGGTCCTCACAGACCTGGGGTCCGTCTCCTACGTAGGCTGCAGCGTGGAGCTGGGAGCCAGGTGTGCACAGCTTAGCAGTCTTCAGGCACCTCCAGGTGCTCGCTCCCAGGTGTATACCAAGTCCCTTGCTGTGTCATTGTTATCACCACAGGACACTGAGCTGGGAAGGTGGTAAAACCATCTGCGTCCCCAGCTTCAGCCTGCTGCAGTGGGGCTCTGTGCACTGGTCCAGCTGAAGAGCTGGCCTTTCCGAGATTTCCTGTTTCCTCTCAGTCCAGCCTTGAGTGTACCGGCCTCCTTGCTGTTCAGCTGTGCTTCCCACCTGAGGAATGAGCCCTCTTCCCTCACTATCCCTGTTCTGTACCCAGTCGTGCTGGGAGCAGGTCAGCTTAGGAGCAACATGAAAGGTTTCCTTCTTATTTTATAAAAAATAAGTTGTAGGGGAGCCGGGGATATAGCTCAGCAGCATAGTTCCTCTCTGGCAGGGCACAAGGTCCTGAGTTCAGTTTCTGGTACAAAAAAAAATTGTCCCCATCCCCTCCCAAAAAAGTTGCAAAGCAATATTAGATCTAACACAGAGATCATTGCTTCCCAAAACCATGTAAAGTGGCTCTTACAAGTGTCACAAGCTTCTTTTATTTTCATCTCATTAATTTTGAACTTCTTGGGGATAACAAGGCAATGAAAATGAGTAAGGAATTCTTCTCATTGTTTAGTTCATTTGCTGATACCTTAAAGCACTTTTTCTAGCAAAGGAAAGTGGACATTAGTAGGACAGAGTGTGTGCAGGTAGAGGACGTGGAGGCACAGCCAGGTACAGGGCTGGTGCCCCTGGCACCCATACCACTCAGACCCTGCACGTACCAGGCCTGAAGCGGTGGACACTTCAGAAGCTGCCTACAGAGCCCTTCGCAGGGCTGTGAGATCCACAGCTGCCTGGAGAAGAAGGCGCCAGGCCATGTTAAAGAGCCCAGAGGCCGTCAGGGCTAGGGTCACCATAGGCAAGGTCCCAGCGGCCAATCCCTCTGGGTCAGTCCCTGTCAGTCCCTCTGAGAAAGCAGCACAGGCCTCCAACCTGGAAAAGCAAATTGGGACCCAATTCTGCCTGACCTTCAAACAGTTGTGTGGGAGTTTGGCTTTTAATTGGAAAGCACAGCGGAGCCATTGAAAATATTGGAGATGCCAGGGAGGTAGCTCAGCAGCATAAGCACCTACCTGGCAAGAGCTAGTTCCTGAGTTTGATCCCCATTACCACAGAAAAGAAAAGAAAAGAAAATATTGAGGTCATCTGAATTGTTCCCCATCAAAAGGAGATTCTGACCTAAGCAGCACAAAGCAGGAGTGCTCTCAGTGCCTTTCTGTGGGCTGCCGTGCTGGGCTTGCTTTGTAGAGATCAAGCTGTCCCCATGTTACGCTGTTGGATGTGGTAACCAGGGCAAGGCTTTGCGGCTGAAGATTGATTTTTTTAACACTCTGTTATGACAAAATTCAGAACAACTTAGAGGACACCTAGGCATATTTAAATTCTAATACTTTAAGAGATGAGCCAAAAGCTACTTAGTGTACTTGTTTTTTGTTTGTTTTAAATTTGTACTATGAGAGAGAGCAAGGAGAAAAGCTGGGAAACAGGACAGGGACAAAGCCATACATTTATATGCACAATATGGACAAGGCCATGATCCTGAGAAACATCAGCAGGTTTTTGAAACTAGCAGTTAATTGGTAGGATTCTTACCTGGAATAACTATACATGCTGATACCTATAAACCAAGCAAATGCACTGAAGATAGCAATGTGTAATAGAAGGGTCACGCTTGGAATGCCTGTCATTCTGGTCTTCTAAATACGTACTTCTTGTCATGACATACCAATTATTGCCATACTGTCTCCCAAGTAAAAAGTTGTTTGTTTGTTTTTTAAATGGGTAATAAATGAAAAAACACAAGAAAAAGAAAAAAAATATCACAGGACTGTCCTGCTACAATGCTGTATATGGTTAGATTTCTAAATTTCTGTGTTAAAAATATGTAATTATTTATTCATATTCTTTAAATATTTTTCATTTTTAAAATTTTTATCTCCATATTCTGTAGGGACTTAATGTTTAACGTATCAGTACTTGATGGAAAATACCTGTTCCATGTTATGCCTAAGATGTTTGATATTCAGACAGATAGTGAAGTTATACCCAACTACATAAGATGTAGGGTAATAATAAGCTTCTTTTCTGGAGGGTTAACAACCTAAGTTTGCAGACCAAAAATTAGAGAAATAGAAGGGCTGAAAGGACAGCCAACATTTTAACCATAGTCTTTCAAGGTCACTAAAGACTCAGGACATAGGAGAACCTGTACTGTAACATCATGTAACTCAGTTGTGTCCCAAATTTTCTGATCAAGGAGATTATGGGGCCATAGAGGAAAGTGATTGATGATGTAGAGTGTGCCTAAAGAGAGTCACCTGGAGAGAAAACATTCTCTCAGGCTTTCACAGAGAGCAAATTGGTTAAGCAATGGCTGTGACACATCCACATGGCTGACACTGACAAAGGATCTGCAAACTGCAGTACAAGGTTACAGGATAAATCCTGAGGGTACTTGACTGACCTTATCAGATACAAAAGTTACGCTTCTTGTTATACAGGTCTTGCTTTATCTTGGTCTTAACCATCCAGCATAAAAGTATAAAAAATGAGGTATATAAAATAAAGCCATATTAATATGCTGAGCTATGAAAGGCTCAATCAGCAACTTCTGTGACTAATCCACTACTATTGTGGACTGCTAGACAGTGTTGGATTGTTTTGCTGAATTCACACACCTGTAGTATTTATATGCCAATGGAATACCCATTCTGACAGGACTAAAAAAAAAGGGGGATACAAAAGAAGGTCCATTTTGTATCTGTATATGCAGAATAGTTAGAATAGATATATAGCTACTGTCGCTTAATTCAATGAGAAGAAAGATTTGTATTAATAGTGTTTGGATGGGATATTCTGTTTGCATCTTGTACTATGGATAACCACTAAGAAGATAACAGTGTGCAATATATTAATTATTGAAACTGTCCTATTAATCAGTTTTGAAACTGTCTCATTGCTGTTTGTTTCTCAATAAAATAAAATATGGAGTCAGGGAGATGGCTCAGTGGAATAAGTGCTTCCCTGGAAAGCGCAAGGGCCTGAGTTCAATCCCTGGTCCCGAAAAAAAAAAAAAAAAAAAAAAAAAACAATCAATAAAATAAAATAAAAATAAATTTGTACTATGAAAGGAAAATACACTTTTATTATAAGGTATTTATTTTGCCTGGTGAATTTAATCAGAAAAGAAAATAAGAATGTTAAAGGTCTGCTTAATACTTGAACTGTTACTGATTATTTGTTTATTGCCTATAATATATGCATGCATGCATGATTTACATGATATTTATGTTAAGAGAGAAGGAATGACATCTGCAGTTGGTGCTCAACTCATTGTTTCTGTGCGTTTTAAAGTCTTTTTTCTACTCATATCAATAATGATCTTAGGAACTAGGGAGGTAGCTCAGAGGATTAGGCAGCCTGCCTGGCAAGCACAAAGTCCTTAGTTCAAATCCTGATAATGGGGGAAAAAATCACCCACAAATTTTTGGGGCTGGTGAGATGGCTCAGTGGTCTAAAGCACCTATTTAGAACAAACTCAGCAAAGCAAAGGGACCGCGGTTCAATCCCCCAGCACCACATGCCAGCCGGGGCCGCCCCCTGGTGGGCTGAGCTGGCCACACACACACACACACACACACA